AAGACACGGGAGCGCACAGTTGTTACCTGCCTCCCTCCTTTCCTGGAGAAGATGAAGACCACAAGCTCCACCTGTCCTGGGAAGGTTTCGGCAGCATTTAGCCTGGAGGGGTGTGGACATGTACCGAATCCTCTCCTGTGTCCTTTGTGGCCATTGGGTCTCTGGCAATTACTCTGCCTGGGGTTTTGGCTTGTTAGCATTGCTATGCAAGTCCTGTCCGTTTAATTGTGGGTCATGGTGGGAGGAATAAATGGCAGAATGTGACTTTGAAATTGAATAAATAAACGGGAAGAGAATGCCTTTGGGGATCAGACCTGTTTGTAGTATAACTCTTATAAATCTGTGAATTGCTTCCTCTTTTTCCTAATTTCCAGTGCTTCATTCCTCAGTTTTAGATTGGAGCTCACACCAGGCACCTGAAGTTGTGCCTGTTATGTAACTGCTATTTTGTGTTAAGAAAGTAACAAAACTCTTAAATACTGACGATCTTTTAGTTATATGAAAGTGCTTTTACTTTTAATAGGAACAGTCCTTGTTACAGTTTCCCCCTCTCAGAAAAGAACTTGGCTGCCAAGGAATCCTTAAAGAGCATAGCTTGAGTGAAAAGGACACAGAACAAAGGAGAGACCCCGGGGGTGAAATGAAGAAGTTCTGTAAACAGCTGTGCTACTTTCCTTTGAAACGTCTGCACGCTCTGTGTGCTGCAGCGATCGTGTGCCCAGGGGCTGTGTGTCTAACTCCGTGACGAAGGTTCCACGCTGAATCTCAGAGCAGCATATGTGGCAAGGGCATCAGGATCTTTCCGAAGTTTTAAGCTATTTAAATGACAAACTTTTTAAAATTTAGCGTACCTGGAAACGTAAGCCTGCCACATCCCTGCGTTCAAACAGTCATCACTTCACCTTGCACGCCTGACCCTTGGAAAACATAAGACGTGAGCAAGTGGCAACTCTGAGCTGCTCTCAGAAATCTGGAGTGTGCTAAGTGAAACTTACATTTTCTAGCATGAAACTGGCCCAGAAATGTGAAGTTTTGCTTTTTGATTCGTCTCGTCACCTTGAAGCCCAGGCCACTCTGTAGTCTGTGGGCAAAATCCTACACAGCTTAAGCGAAAAGTCTGCCACAAAACTCCCTTGGCCATGTTTAACTCCTCCTTACTAGAGGTCCCGCAGTTATGGCTTATTATTCTCTTCCATGGCCATTTCTCTTTTCCTATTTTCAGAACATTTTTGCCTTCCGTTCTTTTATTGTCTGTCTTCCTCTTTGATTGTGAGCTGTCCCTTGCACGGCACAGGCACACACGGATGGCCTGTTACATGTGGCCCACATTTCTACCTGGGGCTTACACACTTATCAAGAACTTTTTGGCAGCTGCTGTGTGCAGGGCACAGCTGTGTTCTCTCAAGAGGACAGGAGAGTCTGAGATGGAGTCTGCTTCCTAGGCTTGCACAGATTTGAAAATTTAAAGCTCTGGGCAAAAGCAAGTTAGGAGCTGAAAAATCATAGGTATCTTAAGAAAATATTTAAAAAAAAGAATACTATTTTTAGTGCCTTATAGTTATAAGGCCATTCTGTTATTTTAAGAAAAACATATAAATTAGATTTAACTTGGTTTCTTAGTAATTTTGATATATAAGATAAGGAAATTGAAATGTTTTCTCTTTCTGCAGTGAGTGAGGGAACAGGAATCTGAAAGTGGAGTGAGTTGGGGAGGGAGCTGTATTTTTGTGAAAATTTTAGTGAATTTTCTGGGGCTTTTTTCCCACCTATATGGAAGACCTAGGACACAAAAGCATGAAACATTAATGTTGATTCAAGAATTAAATCACCGAAACACTGTTAAGAGAAATTACAGCTCTAAACAACTGAAGAGAGAGATCGTGTCCATGGGCCGGAAGACTCAGTAATGTTAAGATGTCCGTTCTCACCAAGCTGACATGTGGATTCAGCGCAATCCCAGTCAGAGTCCGCTGAAACGGACAGACTGACTCTGGAACTCAAATGGAAATGAAAAGGAGTTTGAACAGTCCAGACGACTTTGATAAAGAACAAAGTTGGAGGACTAAGACTACCTGATTACGAAAGTTATTATAAAGCTCCAGTAAATCAGGACAGTGTGGTGTCAGCATGGAGATCAGCAGGCAGACCGGTGGATCAGACTGGAAAGTCCAGAAATACACTCACTCATACATAGCCACTGATTTTTGACAAAGGTGCAAAGGCAGTTGGGTTGCTTTGGGACAATTAGATATCATTGGAACAACTGGATATCTGTATGCAAAAACAAAGGGAAGAGGACTTCAATCAGTCCTCATACTATACACACAGATTAACTCAAAATAGATCACAACCTAAGTGTAAAACCTACAACTGTGATACTTCTAGAAAGGAAAACGCTTGTGACCTTGAGTTGGCAGCAGAGAAGTCTTAGACACAACACCAGGAGCACAATCCATGAAAGAACCAGCTGGTGGCTTGGCCTTCATCAACATTAAGCGCTTGAAAAAATACTATGATGAGCATGAAAAGATGAGCCACAGACTGGGAGAAAATATTTATAAATCATATATCTGAGAAAGGATTTGTATGTGGGATATATAAATAACCCTCAAAACTCAATAGTAAGGAAATAATTTTAACATAGGCAAAATATTTGCACAGATATTTCACTGAAAAAGAGATACAGATGGCAAATAAGCACATGAAAAGATATGCAACCTCATTAGTCATTAGAAAAATGCAAACTGAAACCACAACCAGACACTATTCGTACCTTTTAGAATGGCTAAAATTAAAGACTGAGCACACCTAGTGCTGGTGAGGATGGGAGGAAGTAGAATGCTCACACACCGCTGGTGGGAATGGAAAATGGCCCAACCACTTTGGAAAATAATTTGGCAGTTTCTTAAAAAATTAAATGTACACCTACCATATGGTCCAGCCATTCCACTCGGAGGTATTTATCAAAAAAATGAAGTTCACATAGACTTGTACACAATGTTCACAGCAGCTTCATCTGTAATTGCCAGAAGCTTGAAACAACCCAAATGTCCATCAACAGGAGAATGAATAAAAAAGAAAAACCTGCAGTCCATCCATATGATAGAATACTACTCAGCAATATAAAGGAATGAACCATTGATACATGTTACAGCATGAACGAATCCCCATATAGTTATGTTCGTGATAGAAGCCAAATTTAAAAAAAATAGCAGAATGTATACTGTAGGAATCCATTCATGTAAAATTCTAGGAAATGCAAACCAATGTATAGTGACAGGAGGGAGATGAGTAGCTGCCTGGGGACAGGGCATGTGGAGAGGTGGAGGGAGGGGTTAAAAGGCACAGGGGGTGATGGATATGTCCATTCTCGTCACAGTGCTGATGGTCTCGTGGTTGTATACGTATGTCAACATGTATCAAATTTTACATTTTAAAAAGTGCATTTTATTCTCTCCAGGGTCCCCGAGACCACCCGCATGTTTGGTGATTTACTAGGACTCACTGTGCTCAGCACACAGTTGTACTTGTGGCCCAGGTTTATTACAGCGACAGTCAGGACACGTAGCTGATCAGTGTGGGAGAAAGACGTGGGGAAGGGTCTGCAGGAATCCATGTGCGGCTTCCCGTGCTCTCCCGCCCATGGGGAGCCACATGCAGCACACCCTCCGTCCAGCAGCAAAAATGCCCAGGGAAACCCATATAAGAATCAGGGCTCAGGGTTTTTCTGGGGGGCTGGTCATATAGACACCCTCTGCCCATCAATATTTCAGATTCCAAGAAGGAAATCAAGTGTTCAGTGCCCCAGGCAGGCAAAGAACCGTATCAGTGTGGGGACTGTTTCAAAAGCCAAGTTCCCATGTGCCTGCCAAGCACCATCCTTGCAAGCAGGCGTTTGGGAAGACGACAGTCTCAGGACTAACTCTCTTCTGTGCTCTGTTATACCAAAAAAAAATCATCATATAAGTTAGTATGAGCTAGCACAAGCAATGGTGATTAATTTATTGGAAAAGGGATGGACTATAAAAATAGTAATTTCAGATTTGGAGAAGCCCAGAACACTGACGTCTTTATTACCTGGAATGCTTTACACCCTTAAATCCTCTCTTTGGAATAGGGGGGATATTAATAAGTAAGTAAAATTGGGATGCTCAGCAAATGGGAGCTTCTAATTATTTTTACTGTTGCCCTGTCCAGCACCCATCCTGGAGGAGGGTGGTGGTTTCCCCAAGACGCTGCCTGATGTCAGCAAGCTTTCTGGTGTACGTGTCTTTCTCCTTGAAGAAATCCAGCAGATGACTTTGAGCTGAGGGTCGTCTTGACCCGAACTCTGCTGGGTGCAGCAGTGTACCTGGGAAAGGAGCCAGCGCTCAGCTGCCCGCCTGGGGCAGCTTCTTCTCTAGTTTGGCCCAGTTGCCCTTGAGAGACAGGTGACTTTAGGGCTCGTTTTTCTTTTTGGCATTCCTGGGGATGCCTGGTGTCTGTTCTGTGTCTGGATCCCATTATGACTATCCCAAGCCAAGATTTCCATGTGTCTGTAGCAATAAAAAATTTGGAGAAAGGCAACTCCCGTGGCCCCTCTGAGCGAAATTTTTGCTGTTGCTGAGTAATAAAGTTTCTGAGATGGGTAGTGAGCCTCTCACCTCCGAACATACAAAGTGTTTTTTGAAATATTCGTCTTTGAAACAAGTAGAAAATATCCTATAGTCACACCTTAGCTTCATCTGAGCGATGTTCACTATGGACGCCTGTGGCATTTCTCTTTGGCCCTGAGCCACTGGCTGCGTCCAGGACCGATGGCCCTCACACAGCGATGGCCCTCAGCCACCAGAGACCAGGAGAAGGGGAGCCGCCAGCCAGCAGAAGGGTCCTGCAGGGAACTTGTGGTTTAGGGAATCTGCACGCCCCCTGCTCATTTCTGCTCTGTGGCTCCCTTCCTTTCCTCCCTTCAAGTTCTTTCCCTAAGGAAACTTTACCAAGTCTCTCTCCCCTTTTTGCAGATGCGAACAACGCGCAAGGTCTCTGTCTGGCCGGTGGGCTTGGTTGGCGGGCGACGCTACGAACGACCCTTGGTGGAGAACGGCAAAGTCGTTGGCTGGTACACGGGCTGGAGAGCAGACAGGCCCTTTGCCATCGACATGGCAGGTGAGGAGTGTGGAGGGTGGCATTTACCCTGCCTGAGTGCTCTTGCCGACACTCTGTTTGTGACAGGGCACTGGAGGGAGGCACCTTTGAAAGACCTGGAAAGGGATTTGAGCCAAAATATACCATATGCAGCAGATGAACTGTTTAACTAAACTTTCAAAACAGTTCTGTGGTCAGTTCAGGTGGAAGTGTTTTTTGGGGGTGATTGGGAAATCCTCTTTCCATTCCATCGTGTCAGCTGACCGTGCGGCCGGCCCTTCATCTAGGACGCATTATGGGCCAGGTCTGTCTGGGTTGGCGTTGGCGATTCAGGGCCTGGCTCCTGCCCCACGGGGCTCTGTCGACTGTACCTTTTGGTACCTCTCTCTAGAAGTCCAATTTGTTATATCTCATGCTTATTGATAAATTTAATAGTGATATGAAATTGACAAGCCAATCATTTTAATGCTCATTGATAAATTTAGTGCTTATTGATACATTTAATAGCTAAAATATGAAGTTGGATTACCATTTTCTCAGGCATTTATTAACTTTGAGTGTAACTGTCTTTTAATGGTTTTATTCTCTGACCAACCAACTGAATTGAGTAAGAACCATGGTAGACCACAAATTCTAAAGAGCTACTTCATCATAAAGTGACTCATTTTCTGTGGGTTATATAAAGTGATGCCTGTGATAACTGTGGAAGGATGCAGTTAGAAACATGAGGCTTAGAGGCAGAAAACGTCACTGACATCTATAACCTAGAAGATGAAGGCAGAAGAGCTTCAAAACTGCTCTCACCATCTTCAGCCCGGAGGCAGGGTCCGGCGGGCGGCCTCCTGTGCCTGGCCAATCTTGTGTGCATTTCCCGCTGCAGTCAGAACCCTGATGCTCAGCGTTCTGATGGGTGAAGGCCGTGTTCGGAACTGGATTCCCCACTTCTGTCTGACCACACTGTGAATTTGCAGGAGCGAGATGGTGAAGAATACTGGGAGTGAGAGCTGTGGGGCAAGCGCTCGTGGACAGCACTGTGATGGGTCTGTCACACTGTGTGACAGGAGAGGACAAACTGGGACGTTCTTACTCAGTGTTTAACAAACACTTCCTGCGGGCCCGTTTTGTGGGGCTGTGGCCTCTGACCCCTAGGACAGTCTAGGTCTCTTCCTCTGCCCAGGGCACCCTCTCCCACACCCCGTCTGCTTCCTGGGCTCTCCCTCCTCTTCTAACCCTCAACTTATGCTTCGGTCTTCAGTTCGTGCGGCCCCAGGGCTGAGCTGGCGTCTCGACCAGAGCGTTGACCTGAAGGCGGACGGAGAGGCAGGTGGGCCAGGCTGGGAAGGTCCCGAGGGTTCTCCAGGGAGGCCTGTCCTCGCTCGAGTCCGCGTTCGTGGCTCTGAATATGTCTTTTGATAATCAGATTCCTTCTGATCAGCAGGGTACCTTGAGCAGAAAACCTGGAGAATGTTGAGCAAAGTCTGGCTTCTCTGGGACCTGGCTTCTCCTGGGTAAAATGAGGCAGTGTCGCGAGTGACCGCCGAGGTCTTCTCCAGTGTATCCTTCCTGCTCTGGCTTCCCTCCTGGGAAGCTCGGACAACAGCCCGGGGCGCTGGGCTCTCGGAGGAGTCCTGACGGCTGAAGCAGCCCGCTGACAGATGTTTGGCTCTTCTCCTTCCCAGAGCCTTGTTTCAACACGATCCTCCAAGACACGTCCCTTACACAGGATCCCTTCCCGTCACTCTGCAAGGCCACTGCAGGGTGAGGGCGGCTCAGGTAACTCCTCCTGGACTTGAGGTAATAACCTGATGTAGAAGCTCAAGCATCCAGTGAACCCATTGAGTATTCCGCATTGGTCGCCCCACAGTCTGGATCCCAATAGTTAGAGCTAAAGTTCAAGAAAGGCACATGGGTTTGTGCATTAGGGCTGGCCCACGGCAAGATACTGATGCTCATTCACTGCCACATTCCCTGGGAAACTATTCTCCGTGACATAACTGACGTTTGGATTTTTCTGAGCATTTCAATATATTTGCATAATATAAGACCTGTCATAAAATATGAATGATTTGTATTAATTATCCTTGTTTTAAAATAGGAATAGCATTTCTATCTCTAAGGGAACAACCTTTGCCACGTTAAATGATTTCCTTCACTTCGCACATGAACGTGCTTTGCAAATTAGTTTTCAGTAAGTTACTGATATTTTTGGAAGCCGTTAACTGAGACTGGTTTGGTTGATAAGATAATGATTCTGATTTTGAGGCATTTTGTTCTCATTCTAAAACTTGAAAAGTCCCGGCTTATTTAGGCCCCATGGAAGATTCGTTGCTCCTCTGTGGGGAGAGGGGAGGGCCTTGTGGACCTCCGTGTCCAGTGGCGCTTCCCGCTCATTTTCAAGTTGCACAAACACTCACGATTTCCAGAAGAGAGAGGGAAGCTGGGAGCCGTCTTCCCTGCCGTGCCCTCTTGGACGAGGAGTGCTGCTTATGAGGGGGTCTGTGATCGCGGAGGGAGAGCGCTGCGTGCGAGCTGGGTCCCTCCTGGATTTCCACAGCTGATTAAGAAATGTGGAGCTTAGAGCCAAACGTAACATTTCCACAGCTGTCCTGCTTTGGTGGGGGGGGGGGGGGGGCGCAGACACTGAGCAGATTTGGTGGGAGCCCCTCAGGGTCTGACCAGCTTGTACTCCTGTGAAGTCGGCCCAGCTCAGCACGAGCCGCCCATTCGAGCGTCAAGCGTTGGGACCGCCGTGCTGTGTCTTCCAAGGAGTTTGACTTAGTGTCTGTCCGTATTCTGCCACATTGGACTTTGTAGATGCTGTTTTTGCTCTCAGATGAGAAAACATTATTTTGAAATTATATGCAAAACGTTAGTGGCAGAAGTAAAGATTATTTCTGTTGTACTGGGCGGAAAAAAAAATTTCTGATGATTAATCCTGGAAAAGAACTTAAGATGCTGACCCACAGATGGAAGGAAGGCATCGGGGCCGCCCCGCGCTGGCAGCAGTGGCAGGTGGCGTCTGCGGTTGGTCAGTGGCTGCACTGCTCTGCCAAGCCATTGGGACCTGGCTGGTCTGTGCCCTGGGCTTCAGTCGCTACACCTCGGGCACTGACCGCTGGCTGGCTCTGAGTGACTGAAAGCGAGGCAGTCCAGGCATTTGTTAGCTCTGTTTTGAAGTCAGGGAGTTACTTTCAAGTGACGCTCACTTCCAGAGAGGTGTCAATAAGAGCGTTGCTTGAAAGAACTGAGCTTAAAGTAATCTTCAGCTGTGCCAAGAGGGGTAGATTTGCTCCCATTCAGAACCTAAGGCTGCGATAATTTATTCTGAGCTCTCAACATTTGCATGCACTTTATTCTTAACTTGAGAAGGTGGCAGACAGGGCGCTGTCCTCCTTCAATGATAGTGTATATGGTTCCCAGTCAAGTGCCTGGCACACAGTAGGGATTCTGTTCCAGTAAAAATCCAACTGGGTGCACTGTCGTTCAGCTCTGGCACTGACCCCCCAGAGTTAGCACAGACCCGCAAGTTAGAGGGCACGGTCCCTCTCAAGACTGCCCTTAGTTCAGACACCAGCCACACTGTGGGGCTTCCCAGGCCGTCTTCACTTTTGACCATGTGGCTATAAATTTGATGTTTCCCACAACCCTCTCGGGTTTGATAATTTTCTAGAAGGACTTGCAGAACTCAGGATGGCACTCTACTTATTATTACAGTTCTATTACAAAAGCTACAATTTAGGACCAGCCAGTGGAGAGACCCGTAGGGTGAGGTCTGTGACAGCAGGCAGAGCCTCTGTGCTTTTCCTGTGGAATCAGGCTGCCTCGCCCTGCCAGCACATTAATGTGCTCACAGCCCAGGGAGCTCCACTGAGCTTCTGCGTTCAGAGTTTTTACTGCAGCTGCATCACGTAGGCATGATTGACCAAATCAGCGGCCACGTGATTGAATTCAGTCTCTAGCTTCCATCCCCAGAGGTCAGGACGGCCCAAAGTGCCAACCCTCTAATCACATGGTTGGTTTTTCTGGTGACCAGCCCCATCCTGAAGCCATCCAGGGCCCACCACCAGCCACCCCATCAGCATTACAGAGTCACTCCTGTCACTTGGGAAATTCTAAGGGTTTGACAAGCTCCTTGCCAAGAACCTGGCAAAAAGGCCAGACAAGTTTTTTCTCAGACCCCAGGCTCAATAAGGGATAACTTTCCTGTCCTAAAGAAGAGTGTCTCCGGCAGCCCCTTTTATCATGCTTTCATCCACAAAGCAGAGGGGTGTGAAGTGGTGTGTCACGGTCACTTTCAGCTTTGCCTGTGGACTTCACTTTCAGCTTTGCCTGTGGACTTCATCAGGACTGATAAAAATGAGACGTGGTTGTCAAGTGATAAAACTGTTTCTCAGGTGTGGTTTCCAGAGGGATGGGAAGTCTCTTGGTGTTGTGGCCTGGAGTCCTGTGGCGTGGGTGTGATGAAGCCCTGGGAACGGACAAGCTCCCAGGGAGGCCTGTGGTGGCCTAGGATTGCGTCCTGGGAGCAGTCATTTAGAGTGGCTGCTGGTGGCGGGAGGCAGGGAAGGGAGGGCCAACGAGGGGGTTTTGGGATGGACTGGCCAGTAGTCCCTGGAGAGAAGAGGTGGACAAATCATGAGTTCAGTTCTTGGGAGGCCTCATGTCATGGATGTGGAAGACGAGGGTGCTGAGGTGGTGGTGGTGGAGAGTGTCCCCTCAGAATTTCAGCGGAATAAAGCTTTCCTTCAGGACTACGAACTTTGAAACCGGAAGTTTTCCCCGTGTCAGGGCAGTCGAGCAGACTTGGTAATGACCGTCTGTGGAGCACTGACCAGGCACCAGGGGCTCTTAGGCACCCTGTGCTTTCTTGCTTAGTCTCCACCCAACCCTGTGAATTGTCCTCACTTCAATATAAGGAAACCGAGGCCTGGACTGGCTGAGCCACTTGTCCGAGGTTGCAAGCAACAAGTGGTAGAGCTGGGATTCAAACTCGGGTCCACTTGTCTCCAGGGATGGCCCTG